CATAAAAGTTTGTAGTGGTGTTTAATATTTTTTTGTTATATGATGCTTTTGTAATTTCCTCAAGTAATTGATCAACTGTTATTTGCATATTAACACTAGATAGGACTAAAAGAATAGTTTGTTCTTTTCTGTGGAAACATAATGGATTTTTTTTTTCTCATTTTGCGGTGTGAGGTGGCAAAATGGTTTATTTTGGACCTATACTGCATATACTTCACAGATTGGCAAGTGGATTGAGTGTTCCTCATATTTAGTTGAGACCTAAATAATGTCAGTAAGGAAAAAACCTTGACAGCTGAGTGCTTTCAGTGGTGTGTTTTTTTTTTTTTTTTTTAATTTTTTAAATTTTTTTTTCCTTCCTGTGATACATATAATTTATATTCTTCTGTCTTAAAAGCTGTTAGGCTGTGTTGCCCTGTGTCTCTCTGCTCAGACTGTGTGTAGTTCAAAAGGCACAGCTATTGGCGCTCCAGACAGTAGCTGTAAAGTACTACTCTAAGACTAGGCTGAGTTACATAGTAACGCCAAGACCCTTAAATCTTTGGCATTAGGTCACAGTCCTGCAAAGTGTTTTCTCCTTTTTCAGTTATTTACAGCTATTTCATGTCCTGCTGTATGGGAGCAGAGAGTGAGATCAACATGCTGTACATGGTTGGAAGTAGGGAGTTTAAACACTTGGACTGCAGATGAAGTTTCTTCTCTGATTCACAGTCTAGTATCATTTATATCTGAAATAGTGTGGGGTTTGGGTATTTTTTACTTCCAAGTGTAATATTTCATCCTGATACAGTAGTGTCTTGTTCGTTTTTTACGTGTGCTATAATCTCTATTTTAAAATCAGTCTGCTGATTAAACTTCAGCTTGCTACCAAGACATTTTTATTATGGTAATTTCTCTGCAGTTTCATATTGACTTCATGTTTTATTACACTACAGAATCACAGAATCACAGAGTGTCAGGGGTTGGAAGGGGCCTCCAGAGCTCATGGAGTCCAACCCCCCTGCCAGAGCAGGACTATCCAGTCCAGGGCAGGTCACACAGGAACCCATCCAGATGGGGCTGAAAAGTCTCCAAGGCAGGAGACTCCACAACCTCCCTGGGGAGCCTGTCCCAGTGCTCTGGAACCCTGACAGGAAAGTTCTTCCTCATGTTGAGGTGGAACTGCCTGTGCTCCAGCTTGTGACCATTGCCCTGTGTCCTATCGCAGGGCATAAGTGAGAAGAGATTGCCCCTTCCTTCCTGACACCCAGCCCTCATCTATTTATACACATTAATTAGATCCCGCTAAGTCTTCTCTTCTCCAGACGAAACAGCCCCAGGTCTCTCAGCCTCTCCCCACAGGGCAGGAGTTCCAGTTCCCCAGTCATCCTCGTAGCCCTTCGCTGGACTCTCTCAAGCAGATCTCTGTCCCTCTTGAGATGGGACCATATATTCCAACTAGAAGAAGCTGATGGATTTACAAAAAAAATTATTTTAACAAAAGTAATGCAAAATCTGTTTTCCACAGCGTATGTTGGAAGGGAACGGAAACGGGGAACAAGGTTGAGTAAAAAAATTGACTTCTGTGCAAATGTGTGACTTTACAAATTGAGTGAATTAGAAGTAAGGCAATGTGGTTGGTTATGTTTGAAATTAAAACTGTTAGTTTTGAAATGTGAAGTGCTATATAATGAATATTATAAAATCTAATATAAAAGAAGGTAATTTTTTAGTGATCAAAATACACAAAAATCCCTTTTACTTTCATGCTTAGGTTATGGTGATGTAGAGTTGCATTCAACATTCTTGGACAATTGACTACATATGGACACCTTACTTTTATGAAATGTGACAATGATTTTTGTTATTTGATTTCTTCAGGAAAACATACCACTGTGGAGCACTGTGGTGTTAAGGTTGTAATGCTTTGAATATTTTTTTTTTAATTTGTAATGACTAGAGTAATAAAGATTCTTAGTGATTCTGTTTTAGTCATGTCTATTCTTGTTATAGTCACATACTTCTGGAGGGATGTTGTATTACTAGATGATGTGAGGTGCTGTGTGGGGAAGTCAGAGATTTTGGCAAGCAGATGAGAGGTGTAAAAATGAGAAATAGTGTGGGATTGTAGGACAAGAACTTATTGTTTCTCCTAAATTACAGTGGCAAAGTAGTTAATATAACTGGCAGTGATTATTGCTTATGCTTCAGGTTTAACGTCTAGCTGAGATTTATTGAGAAGGTTTCTCAGAACAGTGAGATCTTGGAGCACTGTCTTCAGTTGCCACTGGGAGAGGAAGAGGTACCGGTAGCGTTCTCAAGGTGTAGCTACAGCCTGATCAATGCTTTGTAAAAATGTTACGTGATCTGGTTGTAGGCAGTAGTTTGGACCCAAATTCAACAACCTGAGAGGTCCCTTCCAATCTCAAATTACTGTTAAGTGCTGTGACTTGCGTGGAGATTCAGGAAAGCATTATTAGCAGATTACCTAATGACTCAGTTGGCAGCTGGAAGTTTTTTGCACATTTTAAAGGCTAAATGAAGTTAATTAAGGCTATCAGGCCAAAGCTTTATGCTCAATTTTGGTGCCTGCAGCCATGGAATTGTCTATTTAAGATGCTCAAACGTCAGCACAGTATATGTATTGGTGATAAAATGCGTCCTTCAGTTGTATACTTCATTAAGTGCTTACATTTCTTGGGTAAATGTTTATGACTCTAGTATTTTTTAAACATTTTGATACAAAAATACACTCTGCAGAGCCTGCACGGTTATTTATTGCTAGCTCTAGGGAGTTAATTTGAAATGGCTCATTTGCAAAACAGATTTAACTTCAAAATTTTCTGTTTGATTTTAGGGAAACTGGTGTTTTATGGAGTGAGTAGAAATAGGGGGAAATGGCTTATGTAGGCATAAAAGTGACATGAAAGAGTTAATTAATTCTTTAGGGGAACAGGCTCCCCAGGGAGGTTGTGGGGTCTCCAGCCTTGGAGACTTTTCAGCCCCATCTGGATGGGTTCCTGTGTGACCTGCCCTGGACTGGATGGTCCTGCTCTGGCAGGGGGGTTGGACTCCATGAGCTCTGGAGGCCCCTTCCAACCCCTGACACTCTGTGATTCTGTGATTTAGTGAGTAATAGCACAAGGTTTAGGGAGAATTACGTTCTTGAACAGATTCTTAAATTCCTGAAAATGCTCAGTGTAATGTACGTTCTGTGTCTCCTAGTACACATAGAGCATTTCAGGGTTGGGGGTTGTGTGCCCTTTTGGAAGTTTCTCCAGTAAGTCAGTGCTTGCCCTGTGTGCGGAGTGCGGTGCCCTTGGAACTGAATTTCTCTCCTCGTGCATCTTCTGCCCCTTGGTAAGCCCAGGTCAGCTGCTCCCTCCCGCTGTGCTGGGCGTGACCTCTCAGAGCGGCACGGAGCCGAGTGCTGCGCGGGTGCAGCAGCTTGGACAGGGGCTTGCCTTCACTGCCTAGGCAGTCTGCTTGTAGGGTGCAAACCTGGCTGGCCTTAGGGTCTGGTCAGAAAATGGCAAGCAATCCTAAAACGATGTGTCATGAGCAGAGCCTTTCAGCTAGGTTCTGCTGTCCCCTCCCTAGAGCAGGAGGGCTGCTAAACGCATGAGTTGGCATGTACAGTAAAGTGAGCTAAAGCCAGGTTTTTCAGCTGCGACGTTTCACCTGAAACGTTGCTTGTTTTGTTTGAGAGCATTAATTCCATTGCTTTGTGGTCATTGGACCGTATTCTTAGCGTGTGACGTTAGGGGTAACTGAATGAAGGGTGTGATGTGTGTTCGTCACAGTGATGTCTCTCATTTCAAGGAAATGGTAGGAATGTTAAAGTGCTTTCTGCTTTTCCTGCATTTTTATAACTTGTGTTAAAGAGAGTTTGGCATCTGATAACAGAAGAAGGTGTTTATGAACTTTCAATCAGATCTTGGCTGAATCTTTAAACTAGAATAACTTCAAATGATGTTTATATCACATTTTCTAGAAATTGTGTTATAATAGTCACATCATGTTGTTACACTACAAACTGAAAATACTCTGGAAATATTAGAGACCATTTTGGAACGTAATATCCAAATGTACTTGCTATTTCCCATATCTTTTATGTGCCTTAAAGGGGAATAAAATGAATTTTGAGACACGTGCAGTTAATATGCTGTGTCATACTATTTAATCTAATGAAGTGGAGAATTTCTGTAATTGGTTGGATGAATCCCACACAGACTGGCAAGAGCAGCACATGTGTTTAAAATATACTAGTTTGTGTCTTACTCATTTCAAAAAATGGGCTTTATGTAGGCGTGGTTCAATCTGCAGTGGAAAGGTTTGGATGGGTGAATTGTTTTTTGAATAAAAATATTTGCCTGGTAAAAGTGTCCCTGGCTGTTCCTGTTCTCATGCCCTCCATGCAGCCATGGTTGCTGGTGGGAAGCTGGTTTTGTGCTGAAGTTGTCAGCTCAGCAGCGCGACCGAAGCCCGGCATGACTTGCCTCAGACTGCACCATCCCACCTCATTCAAGGCATAACTCATGTGCTTGAATCAGACACACATTTCAGTGCCTTGCTGAATTAGTGCCTATGCGGAAATTGTTTTTCTCCTCAACTTAATCAAATTTGGAACTGGAGATTACCTTGTGTAAATGTTTATTAGCTTTTTTTTCCCTGAATTGTGCCACCATCAGTTGTTATTCAATTTGATATTTGTGGGTTTACAGCTATTCAGATGTTTGAGTTATTTTGTCTTCATCTTCACAATAATTATATGCCTCTCAACGGCCTTTTCATTTTACATGTAAAATTAGCATTTTGCCAATGTTGTCAGTGTATGAAAAACAGCAGTGCAGAGTCTGGTTGTTCAGAGAATTAGTCCCAATTTGATGTAAATAGATACAATTTAAATTCACAGTTATGTGAGGTTTTACATAAATTTTGAAAAAGAGTAATTTTAATCTATATGTGTTAGCTTTTTATATATGTATTTATTTTCTCTTCTGTATTTTAATGTTTTGCAGACGAGTATAAAAGAAGGATTACTACTGAAGCAGACCAGTTCTTTTCAGAGGTGGAAGAAGCGTTATTTCAAACTCCGAGGCCGTACCCTCTACTATGCCAAGGACTCAAAGGTAATGCCTTGCTGTGTCTCTAATGCCAGACACCTGTAACTTCAAGTTTGGTTAGATTTGTAAGTGCAATGATAATAGTAATTTAATGACCTGTTGGTGATTGTTTTATTAAAAACTGTCGTTTATAAGATGTAGTATGTTAAATGAACTTTAAGAAAGACTGATGATTTCTCCTTTTTTTTTTTTTTTAATTAGGTTTATGACAGTGATTTTAGCATTTTTGACTATTCACACAAATAATACATTCATCTTAAGGTGTTGTGGGTTTTTTTGGGGACGTGGTTCTCAATCAAATCTAGTACTTCAAAACAAAAGTTAAAAATTGGGTATTGCCAGAAGTTAGCCTTCAAACTGACTTCTGCTAAAACTCTTCTAGTCTGATGCCCGTACTGCAGTTAAAGAGGAAGAAATGGTTATGTGAAATCAAGATAGTAGGATTTTCTGCCAAAACTGATATATAAGGGAAAAAGCTGTTTCAAATCAATTGAAAGTTTTGGTGGGAAAGTTGGGGGTGGGCAGAGTGCAATACTTGTCTTCTTCCCAAAAGGCATTTCCTCCCTCCCTCTCAGGGCTGAGATCAAAAGCGTTTTGACTTGTTAGGCTGGCTCAGTTTGTGCTGTTCCAGAGCAGGGGCATCACTTTTTTTTTTACCCTGCAGAGTTGCAGCAATTATGGGAGCTGTAGTTGAGGTGCTTTGGGCCTCCATCATCTTCTGTGGCCCGTTCTTCTCAATGAAAATATTTCTAAGGCATGGAGACCTCTCAAGTCTAGGGCTATGTGACTGTAGCTGCATGGTGCACGGGTGTGTGGCTGTGATGAGTGAAGGAAAATGTTGTCTCTCCAGGGAGCCCAGCACTGAAGTATCTCTCCTCTCACACTTCCCTGCACATGGTGCTACCATGAGCACTTTATTTAAGAACTTCATAAAAGTTGCAGATAAGAGTCCTGAGAATGGCAATGTCATTTGTGCTATAACGACAAGGAAAGGAGCTGTAATGAGTAGGCAATTGTACAAAAACTCTGTAGTGTTGAATCCACACATGCTGAAACTCCCCCAATGCTGATTGTCCTTCCCATATCATGGAAGAGGAAGAACATGTTATGACAAAAAAAGGGAGAGGCAGTTTTGTTGGTTCTCCCTTCTATGTTTCAGAACCCGTCATGAGTTTATCCTCATTAATCCTTTACCAGAGGTTGTTTAAAGGTGTTTAAAGAAGGCATATTCTTGGTGGAACATCAAACAAAGGAGTGGAAGGGATCTCTTGAGGTCCTGGACCTCTGTTTACTCTTGGGATACCCTATCATAGATTCCCCTTCATGAATTTAGAGTTCCATCCTAAAACCTATTGATTAATTTGTATTTTACCAAGTTCGGTTTTCTTTCCTCTGACATCACATTTATACTACACAGTAGACATCCTAAAGCTGCATATATTTAAAAAAAAAACCTCTTTAAAAGAAATTTTAAAGCAGTGTATGTTTTTGGAGCCACTTTTTTTATGCTCTCATGTAACACTTAGAGAGCAAATAGGACTGTGTTTATGGGTCAACTAGGAAGCTTCATAATTTTTTTTCTATTTTTAGTTTTTAATTAAAATGGACACAAGGAGATAAAAGCACAGACTATAAGCATACCTGAAAGTGCACTCAGACTGTATTTAATGTTTTTGTGTTATTTTCCACCCACAGTCTCTAATATTTGATGAAGTTGACCTCTCAGATGCCAGCGTAGCTGAATCAAGCACAAAAAATGTCAACAACAGCTTCACGGTATGGAACCATTATAATACTGGTCTTTAAAGCTGTGGATAGCCTGAGAAAATCAAGAATCTTCTGCAGTGCTTCTTATTTTCCTCGTATTTGGAAGTAAAATGCCCTTTACTTGGAAATGATATAACTTATCAGAACAATGTCACATCAGCTATTGATAATATTGTTTCTGTGATTTTTTTAAAGTAGAAACTAAAATGTTAGATAACAGTTGCTTAAAAAAATTATGATACAAGGCATTAAAAATTTAGCAAGATTCAGTGTTAGTACTTTGTTAGTACTTATTAGTACAGATTGGTATTATTCTGTAGTTTGCCTTTGAAGTGACATGCTGAATTGATTCAAATGTTATTATGTTATTTTTTTATTGTCTTATAACACTTATTCATTTTCTGTCATACTGAAGTATATTTTTCATTGTTGATCCTATCCCTGTATGTTTCTAAGGCACATGGAAAAGCTATCTTCACAGCCATTCCTTGACTCTGATAGTGGCACAGGAAACAAACAAGTGTTTACAGATCCCTCTAAGCTCTCAAGGGTGTTGCACACACAGGTCTTGCCAGTTTATTGCTCAGACTGCTCTGTTGGAACTAAGCGATAACACCTGATACAGGTCCTCTGCTGATTCTTAGCATCTGGAAAAGTAGATTTTTTTGAACAAGAGCTAGCTATGAGGAAGACTGTGGGTAAAGTTGACCTTCTGAAGGTCTTGAGTTCTCCCACCGATTGCAATGGCATAATTTTCCATAAACTATAGATCCTGTTCTTGTCTATGAAAATACTGATTTTCCATGTTCCTGAGGAATTTAGTTTCACAGGTAGTCCATGTAACAGTGTTGGTTGTTCTTCTCCAAGGCAGTCCAACAGAAGCCTCCTGAAAGCTTCATCAGGTCTTCCATGCTCTGGTACCCCCTAGGCAGCTACCTCAGAGATATTTTGTGTTGGCCTGGACAGTCCAGCATGTTATGTCAGTCTTTTTACTGGCTAAGAATACCATTAAAAAGACTACTTTGATGGAAGGCCACAGATGAGGAGGTGGCTCTTTGAGGTACAAGCTTCCCTTTTGGAAAGCTTCCTTCTGTTGCGTATAAGCTCTGCCTCTGCCTTGCCCCTGGCCAGAAGTAAAGCTGTCATGCAGGCGTCAGGGTAGCTGGGGAATAATGAGGTATCCAAAGATCATGAGTTGAGGATCCCAGCAGTCATGACTGTCCCTTATGGTTCAAGATGGATGGGCTACAAGGCTCAGCATCCCCTGAAGACCCAAACTTCCTTCACTTTAGCCTCGAGTACAGGAAAAAGAAAATTAAGAAAACTCTGGCTATAGTGTTGTTGCTGATCAATAAGACATTTGTCTAGAGACCTAGATAGACCAGAGAGGTGGACAATCACCAACCATGTGAAATTCAACAAAAGCAAGTGCCGAATTCTCCACCTGGGACAGGGTAGTCCTGCAGAAGGAGGTCTGGGTGTTTGGGTTGTTGCAAGTGGAATATGAGTCAACAGTGTGCCATGGCAGCCCAAGGGCCAACCGTCTCCTGGGGAGCATCAGGCACAGCACAGCTAGCTCAAGGAGGGTGAGTGTCCATGTCTACACTGCACTAGTGCAGCCTCACCTTGAGTACTGTGTGCAGTTTTGGGTTCCTCAGAATAAGAAGGACATCAAACTACTTGAGGGTGTCCAGAGCAGGACCACCAAGGTGGTGAGAGGTCTTGAGGGCAAGATTTATGAGGAACAACTGAGGTCACTTGGTTTGTTCAGGTTGGAGAAGAGAAGGCTGAGGGGTGACCTCATTGCAGTCTGCAGCTTCCTCAAGGCTGGCAGCAGAGGGGTTAGTGCTGAGCAGCTCTCTGGAGTGACCAGCGATAGGACACGAGGGGATGGCATGAGGCTGCACCAAGGGAAGTTCAGACTGGAAGTTGGGAAAAAAGTTCTTCACCGAGAGAGGGGTCGGTCATTGGAGCAGGCTCCCCAGGGAAGTCATCACAGCGCCAAGCCTGTCAGAGGTCAAGGAGCATCTGGATGATGCTCTTCGTTTTTTGGTTTATTTTTAGGTAGTCCTGTGACGAGCTGGGAGCTGGACTCTGTGATCCTTATGGGAACCTTCCAGTTTGACATTTTCTGTGATTCTATGATCTTGGTGTAATTTTGTGTGGGCAGGAAAAAGTGGTGTATTTCGTTGAGGTTTTTTTCTTTCTTCATTTTTTTCTTTTCCCTATGATGTTTGGTGTTTTGGTATCCTTTATAATCCTTTAGGCCAACTCAGTATCTCATTCTTCACCAAAGGCATGTTTGTATCTAGTACCAGGAGAATTCTTCTGGAGAAGATGGTAGTGAAAAAAATCTCAGGGGCTACAGCTTTAACAGCTTTGGAGACACTATTTATTTTCATGTCTTGGATAATTTAGGGCAAACTGTTTTCTCTAAGAAGTGTTCAAATTAATTTTGAAAAATTATTTGGATTTATAGCTCTCCTGGTTTGAAGTGTCATCTGATTTGACTGTGAAATATGGTAATAGTCGTCATCTCACTTAATCTCTTGGCTTCTTTCTTTGTGTTTGGCTAACCCAGGCTCCCAGCAACACTGCCCAGTGAAGTGAGACATCTCTGGCCTTGCCTGCAGGGGTTTGGAGTCAGGGGGGTGGGAGGGGAGTGCGTGGTTGACCTTCCAGCAATACTCCTTTCCAGCAATACTCTTTATACATAAAAAGAAACATTTCTTTTTCCCTGTTTTTCCCCTTTCATCTTAAAAAAGATAATTCAGACTTCCTTAAAATTACATTTTTCCTTTATGTTCTAAGTGCTCTTTTAGCATTCTCTTTGTTAAAAAAGCAAAAATTAAATCCTTAACTTTAGCTTTCTCTAGTTAATGTGCTTCTTTTGTTTCTTAGTCCCAACAGGGAATAATTTTAACCCAAATTATGTAGATGCAGTATACATCAAATGACCATTTTTCCAGGAGAACCTACCTTTAAACTTTACATTAACATTTTTTAAAATAACAAACCATTTAGTCATTTCAGTTAAATTCCACCTCCCTCCCCTCTGCCCCCAATCTCCCACCCCCAGCTTGTAGAAGCTTCTGCTTTGCCTTCTTTTCCCCTTCCTAGTTTGTCTGTTTGGAGACAGAGGTGTGCATGTCAAGATTTTCCATGCTCTTTTTTTGGATAAAACTCAAGTCCTAAAATTAGTCATAACACACAGATTTAAGGTTGAGTTTATTTGTAGTGCACATGCTTGCAGAATGCTTTATGTAACCAAATATCAGTGTTTATCCACCAGGATTGCTTTCCCTTTATAACTACAAACAAATTGAGGTTAAGGGGAAAGTGGAGATAAATAAATATCTGCTGGTTAAAATGAGAAGCTGCTAAACTTAAACCAGCTCACGTGTTTCAGTTTTTTCTGTATTGCCGATGATATTACTTTTCAAAGAGCAACCAGCTCATGTCTAGCAAGTAGTTCCTCGTGCAGAAGCTTTCACTGTGGTGCCTTGCAATAGATCATAGGCATCTTGTAGTTCTGAGCATCCTCATCTAGAGGCTATGAAATAGAGAAAAAGGTGTCCCTGGACTTCAGAGTCTTTATATGTGATCCTCAAGGCCAGATTCTTCCTACTTGCTTGTTAGGTATCAAGCTCCTAAGCCTGTGGGAGGAGAGAGGAGAGGTTCAAGAAACCAGTTCAGCCCATCAGAGATGTGTATCCGCCTCTTCATCAGCCATATCAGGAGCCCATGGGGGCTTCTGTTCACCCCATGCCTGCAGTTCAGTGGCATGAATGGCACTGAATCCTCCTAATGGTGTCAGGTACTCTGCTGAACGTTGTTTGCACAGGGCTTTGTTCCTGCTCCCCAGGGTGGTTTGTGTTGTCTCAGCACAGCCTGAGGAGTGTGGCTGCACAGCGTGTGGCCACTGGGGGTGAGTCAGTCTCTCATCCTTGCTGCACACAAGCAGATGGGACAGTGAACAGTCTGCTGGGAGCTGTAATTCCAGGGATGGAAGATGGCTCGTGGATATCTCAAGTGCATTTCAGAAAGTCTCTTTCATTTTTCTCAAAACAAGACTTGAGACTGAATGAGGCTGAATAGGGCTCTTCAGCCTGCAAGCATGGGCATGGGGGATGTTGGTGGTGTCCTTTTGTGTTAACAGGCATAAGGAATGAGAGTTTTAAACATTGAAATAATTCTTGAACAGACATAATCAGTTAATGAAGTTCCTCAGGGCAAGAAAGGTGGTTAGGAGTTGTGATTTAAAAGGAGGCCTTTGACAGGTTTGGCGTAGGTTTCTGTACTTGCCTTGCTTTAGATGATGAAGAATTGATGCACGTTGAGGAAAAAAATCTATAGATGTTAACCAGTGTCACCTTTCAGTTGTTGGGCCACATGGATGTATAAAGTGCCCTGATTATTATAAATCTATCCTGTCATCTCATATAAAATGCACAAGTGTCATGTGGCAGCACCTGTATTTAATTCATCCAAGGTGGTTTGAAACATTTAATTCAGTTATGGGTTTTTTTCTGAGGTCAATGTGATGGAAAATAGCAATTTTAGGGTAGGAATACTGGCTTTGAGGCATTACTTTGTATACCTGGCTTTAGACATTTGATTTGGGTTAGGTCAACTTCTAGTGCATCTAAGAATTACACAAAACCATGCACACTCGATTTCTTACCATATGTACATTCATAAAAGTGAAAGTCCTGGCTGGATTAATTCTGTTATCTAGTTGTGTCTCAGCATTTCAGAGGAAATAATTTCATTGTTGTTCTGGAACGTGTCCTCCAGGAATGTGAGAACTAACATGCTAGATAATAGGCAGGATAGAGGTTCATCTTGCTCTAACTTCATAGTGGGATTCAGTCATGAGTTTATAAGCCTCTAAATTTAAGTATCAAGGATAAAATTAATAGCTCTTTAAAGTATATTCCTGTAGTTGCTCAATTCAGTATAGTTTTCACTGATAACTAACTCACTCTTCCTTAGCTATGATAGGAGCT